CACTGCCAGTGTGGACGGGGTCGGGCGCTTCGGCTTCGGAATGCTGACTGTGCTGACTGCAGTGCTCAAAGGTATTCCTCTCGTCGGGAGGGCGACGAGGCAAAGTTTCAAAACAAGATATTCGGAGAAAGCTGAGCATAGCGCTCCTTGATGGTTTTGTTTAAGCTTTCCGAGAGATGGAATGGAGTGGTCATGCTTCTCATTGCAGTGGCCATGCAGTGAAGCGCATGCCGGTCAGCTTTTCCCACGGCTTCTGGCAGGGGCAAGGGGTCCTAGCCGCCTTCGCAGGCCGTCGGGCAGTCTTGGCTGATGCAGTATTGGGATGTATTGGAAGTGCAAGACCGGCTCGTGGCATCATTGACGAAGATGGGCTTTAAAGGCCATGCGTTCCTGCGCAGGTGTACTGGAACAGCCCCAGCGCTTCCTGCAGGACAGACGCCGTTTTGCGCTATTTGTTGGAGTTTAAGCCACGGGCCATCATATTGCGTGGCTTGGACGAAACAACACTATGACCCAAGTCTGGTCGCATCCCAGTTTACCGATGATCTCTGCATCCAGGACCTGATGTCGCTGCGAGCGCAGGCCATTCCGAAGGCCTGTGTGTCCCGTGATTTGAAGCGTTCTAAACACAGGGGTCAGAAGACGGGCAGACAGTCATAGAATCTGCAGTGTGCAAGGCTCTGTGCAGCAAATAGTCGATGTATAATGTACAGAACTTAAGAGGTTTGTCGGCTGACACTTTTCTGCTTCTCGCAGTGGTCGAAGGAGAAAATCACGCAGGTGCAGTACCTCTTACAGGAGGTGGCGTCGCAGGGCTTGCTACAGGGCTTGTCCTGAGCACGTGCGGCAGCAGGAAATCTCAGGGCTCCTATTGATTATCAGTGTTTTTGCGACTGGTTTTGGTTTGAAAACTGCATGGCAGGTTGACTTTCAGGCGTCCCACGACTCGGATGAGGCAGCGAGTTATCATGGGTAAGCGATATGGAACCAGAGCGTCATGTCTCACTGTCTCACAAGATATGCCAACCAACGTTCGCAGATCCTGGGCTGTAATTTCTTGCACGTGTTGCCTTGAATGTGATGGAGGTCTGGATGACGAGTCTTTGCTAGCGGAGTATGCCAGCCAGCCCACCAGCCAGCTACGCTAGTCAGTTGGAGCACCGACGATGGAGGAGCAATGGGCAGTGCTCGATGATTCGGTCACCGCAGGCGGTGGCTGCGACAGAATCTGGACGAGTTCACCGCTGCTTGCCAACGACATGACTGCAAGATTCAGTGGAATTCAGCACATCAAAAATAGTAGAGACTGGCGTAGGGTCGCAAAAGTCAACGTTGGGAGACATTTCAGTTGTCATGGATGAAGTTCGTGTGGAGGTGCTGGACAAGGTGGCCGTCTTTGTCAAGGCCAGGCTTTCGGCGACACCATGCAAACTCAAAACAGCTGCGCCAGGCCGCCATGGATTGTGCGAAGGCGAGTTGTTTCTCAGGTTTCCGAGACTTGAAGACAACCCGGCCCAAAGTTCGCGTTTCACCAAAGTTCGGGTACTGTGAGCCTCGAGCACCCTGTGTTGCAGTATACCTGTCATGGGTCTCAGCTTCTCGCTTCTGCAGTGGCGGCGATAGATTGACTACAAAATACTCCGATGGAATGATGCACGAGACATGTTTGTGACATTCAGGTGTCATTGTTTTTGTTTCGAGCCAAGTGGACGCGGAGACAACAGGATCTCAGTTCAAGGTAGCACAGGTGTGCACAGGTGCATTTGTTTTTGCATGTTCCCACTCTATTCTTTGGCAGATCTACTGCGAGATCCGAGACTTCGCATGTGTTGGTCAAATTGATCGACACCAGGCGGGAAGTGGTGACCGGCTGAAGTAGCTGCACTTTCGGTGCCGCCATTCTTTGAGTAATTTGGCTGCTTCTTATGTGCAGCCAGCTCAAGTGGTCAATGGAATACCACTGGCTAAAAGTAGTTGGGGGTGCACCGCTTGTTTCCAAGGGGAGCAACAGAGGGTGCAACCAGCTCTGATTTCATTGTCCACTCGATTCGTGATGTGTGTGGAATCGAGTACCCATATCGGTGCAGGGTCTGAGTCGGTGTGATCTGCGAGCGAAGTCATGCGAAGTCCAAAGGCGGCAAAACTGCTGGACGGCCCAGAAAGCGATCAAAGGACAGGGCGCACGGCATTGGTCTTTGACATTGCTGAAGCTGAAGATGAGCTCTAAGACGGGCCATGACCATCAAAGGAGGATGATCAATGCCATGCACACTGGGAGACCCGATGCTCCAGACGGACCCGGGCTGCCCGCTACTCAGCCTGACGATCTTTTCCGTCGCGCAAGCGCTGACAGTTGGCTCTGAAGGCACAAGGAACCCTGAGAACTTGCAGTCGACTCAGTCGGAAGTTTAGTTTCGGAGCAACGGCTTGGAGACCTACTGACATTGACAGCACCGCAGACTCCGGTGCTCCGCCAGTCGTTGGGCCTAAGGGCCCTTACGTTCCAGAGGCGAAAGTCGCAGACTCTGCTGTGAAGTCTATGGCATTGTCTGCCAACGTCGCCATGACGTGCCTCCCCTGGCAAAAGAGAAGCTCCATGTTTGTACCAATCCGAGCAGGCGGATTCCCATGCTCCTTCGCCATTCATGTCCAGCCTTCATCCTGGCTTCCATGCATGCTTCCATCAGTCTAATGTGAACGATTGAATGTTAAGGTTCTGTTGATTCCGTTGCGGCCTCCCCCTCCGATTCGAGCCAAGCCAACTTCTTCCTTAAAACACTTGCACGCCACAGCATATGCTTCCACATGGCGTGGCTATCGCGGCTCAGCAGGCAAGGAAATGCCCTGGAACTATTGAAGCTATTTCTTTGTGGGCCACGTGTGAGGGCCAGGTGTGAATCACACAATTCGTGTCGACTAGCTGTAGAGCTGGATTTCAGCAAGGCACGGGACCAAGACCGCTCTATCCAAAGAGAGTTCAAGCAGGCATCTGCGTCCCGGCCTGGTGCCGTCAGCTCTCGAGGCAGAAGCTTCTGTGTCGTTTGGGTGTAGCTGTGTTCGGTCACATCTCCCATATGTCTGAGCAAGCCACTGCGCAGGTCGGTGTTCTGCCCCACTCGATTTCTGGTTGGGACCCAAGCTGTTCATTTGGAAACTTCGCTGTAAGCTCTGGTCCCAAGTATTCAACCTGCACACTGTTGCTTGAATATGTCTGGGCGAGGCTTGATAGCTTAATGCACTGGATGTTGGCCACATGTTGACCATCTCCGTGTCTGTTCAAAGTTGAAAGGGGTAGTCGAGGATTCTTTTGTCCCACGGGTTCTTAGGGACATCGGAACTTTTACCCATGTCCAAACTGCCGAGATTGTGCTATCTCCAACAGTGCACAGGAGTGTTCTCGTGGGGCTCAAGCCTGGCTTGAGGTCCTTCCGTTGCCTCGCAAATTGAGTTCGTGTCCAAATCGAGAGAAACATGACATCCCCTGTCCAACTGTCTGGACCTCCGCAGTCCAACTGCCCTGCCCTGTGGAGGTCTTGAGAAGGCCTCTTGCGCCTGCTTGTCACGACCACGACCGACCCATGGTGTGCAGGACAGGACCGTGCTTGCTGGGTAGCTGTGCCCGCTGCCGGTGCCCTGGCGGCCGTGCCAGCCGTTGCCGTTGCAGGTGAGGAGCTTCGGAGGCCCCCGGCGACAGGGCGAGACGCCGACGATACGGTCCACCTTTGCGCCGTTCCACGCCTCAGCGAAGCTGCACAGCGTGCTCCCCTTTACTACACACGGCTGGATCTGGAGCTTAAGGTATCCCATGGTACCGTATGGGGTTAAGCGCAGCTCCGCTTACCGAGTCTCAGCCCTGGATCCCGGAGAGCCAGTTGCGGCGGCAGACGTCTCAGCTCAGCTGACCCTCAGGAATCCAAGAAGGCTGCTCGCAAAGCTGCGGAGAGGGCTCGACGGGCACAGGAGGCGCCAGCGACGCCCAGGAAGCAGAAACTGTCCGTTCGCCATGCGCTATTCAGGAGAAGGGCATGATCCTTGACCCCAAGAAGCAGCTACGGATGGAAATCAAGCGCATCTTTGCTTGCAGACCATGCATTATCACCCATCCACTGTTCGTCCCCCTTTCGGCACGGCTGGTTGGATGTGAGTGTTGCCCCGTGAGGAAATTCAGGCATTGGATGGTACAGGGCTGCTCAAATCATCAAGCCGCCTGTGTGCAATTTGAGCCAGCGCTGTTTTGCAGATCGTTGCTTGATGTTGCTTGTGAGGGACTCGTATTTCGGTCTTGACGCTGTTGGGCTGTCTTGGAGTGTTCAAGATGTTGCAAGGCATCTGGAGATGCACGAGCGTGGCAAGGGGCCGCCGATGGACCAGGTACGGTGGGGTGGACCTTCGAGATCGTGTAATGCAAGTCTCTCTGAACCGCTGTCGCAGGCCATGCGGGACAGGATCACGGACATTGCAAGAGTCGTGAGGTGGGCGCTTTGAGTCGATCAACTTTGCAGGGCACCAAGTTGGGCGACTCAGGATGGGGAGATGACTTGGTGAGTGCTCGAAGCCCCGCTGAGACCCGTCGTGCGCGATGTCAGTTTCACAGAGTCCTCAAGTCGGTGTTGTGCTTCGGAAACTGGCAGTCCTCAAGAGTCCAAGTGCTTCTTCTGTGAGCGCGGTCTGTACGGGTTCTTGCAGGCTGGACATGGTGTCACTATCCACTGCCCTTCCAGCTACAGCGAAACATACGCTCAGCACTGCAGTGTAAAGCGACCAGCGCGTAAACGTTCGAAACGCCTCTACGGACTGAACTTGCACAAGGAATGGCACAGCGGAATGCTAGTTGCTGTGTTTCCCAGATGGCTGCAGGATAAATGGAGAGGCCAGAGCTTTCCGAAGGGGAGGCTTTGCATGCTGCGCGCACTTTGTGCTGGTTGCGTGGCAATGACAAAGAGCTACATGGGGCATGGTGAACTGCTGTCTGCGGCGTGGTGCTGAGCCGGTTATAAGCCATGTCAACTCAGCGCAGTACAGGCGCAGAGCGTGCTGTGGAAGCTCTGAGATCTGTTCTCTCATCTGGGGGTGCTACAGTGAATGGCCAAGTGGTCCAAGACGAAGAAGGCTTATTCAACGTAATTGACAGCGATGGTCGGGGCATGTTGGAGCGAGAGCAAGTACTCACCGGCTTGATGCAACTCGGCTTGGGACTGGATGATGAGTTGAGACAGCTTGTCTCATCAATGGAGGTGAATGCGGACCAGTGTGTTGAAGTTGCTGCCTTCGTGCGAGCCGTGAAGCCTGCGGCACAAAGAGCAGCTAGCCTGCTGTTCCAGCACCCGCGCAAGGACCGGAGTAGGTCAAGATGAGCCCCTCACTGACCAACCGCATAGGTTCTCTACAGTCATCTCCTTAAGGCATGCGGCTTTCATGTCGCCTTGCAGGACGAGCTACGGGCCGTGGTGGTGGCTGTAAACGAGAAGCTCAAGCAAGGCATCACAATCTCGGGCTCCAAGGTCAAGGACGTCAACGGCTTCTTCAAGGCGCTGGATGTGGACAACACGCGCTCTCTCACAAAGGCAGAGATCTCCAAGGGGTTCAAGAGATTAAAGATCTCAATTTCTGAGAAGTTGCTAGAAGATCTGGTGAATGCTGGTGACGTGGACCGAAGCAGGAGAACAGAATCAAAGGAATTCGTACGGTTGTTGGATCCAGCCTCATGGACAGACCCGGATGGAGGTCCGGAGGAAGAGCGTGCGCAAAGTGAAAAGGTCCTAAAAGAAGTTACCGGGAAGATCAAATTCACGTTAAAAGCCGGAGGACGCACACTGTACGGCAAACGGGTCACAGATGCTCGGACTTTCTACGAGGCAGTGGACAGCGACTTCGCTGTCGTCTTTGCAAGGCTGTTGCACTTTCTAGATTCTAGTATTCGGTGTGCAGTGCTGTTTCTCACAGCGAGCACTTTGCCTGTTCAAAAATCCTTGCTGAGGAGACGGTAGTGGTGCCCTCGAGAAGGACGAATTGTTCCAGGGATTGCAACGTCTCGGTGTGACAGTTCCGGAGTATCAGATCGTGGTGCTCATCAATGCGCTGGATGGCAGCTGGGCTGCGATTTCTCGGTCGGAGCCTGTTGGGAAGGGAGCCCCAAAAAGACCCTTTCAGATCTGAGGCAACAAGAGCGGCCTGATCGAGCTGCCTGAGCTGGTCCTGCTCTTCGAACCCACTGCCGACCCTGAGCAGCTCAAGGAAGAGGAGGCCCAACGCAACTTGTCAGACCACAGGCCATATAGGTCCACAACTGCAGTGCGACCTCGACGCAACACAGTACTGCTAGCAGCTAAGCCGGGCAAAAAGGGGCTTCTCATTTAGGGTGGTTACATGTACCCCTCCATTTACAGATACTTACAGTCTACACGAGATATTTCAAGAAGTGCACATGAACAAGGGGTTGATGTTGTATTGACCGCCAACAAAGACAAAACAAGTATTCCCACTAGCGAGGCATCAACACGCACGAGGAGAAACTCTACAACAGAGAACCCGGAAACAAACGGGCCGTCAATACACTGGAATTATTTTCGCTTCACTTCTACGCATCAACTTACACGCGTCAAACAACCATGGCTTTCTCCGGAAATCCTCTCCGTGTTTTGTTCGCAGCTATCTCAGGCCTGTCCCGCTTACAAGCAGAGCGGCAAGCGTCACTTCCCAGTGAGGACGAAATCCAAGCACAGCTTCTGGGTTGCACTTCAACGAAATAGCATCAGCTTGTGGTGGCGTAACGATTCTTCGGAGCCGGTACTAAGCCGTTCATATATGGCCAGAACACATCACGTCAGCGGACTATAAGCCCCGAGTCCTGTCAGAGTGTTCGAGAATTACATGGGCTGCTTAAGGATTGCCGACGTTGTTGCCCAGATCACGGTGCAGATGCACACAGAGCAAACATTGTTCGGACAGACCATTCAGGACGCAAAAAGCTTTTTCAATGCGCTTGATCATGATCGGACAGGAGCACTGGACAGGGGCGAGCTAAAGCAAGGCCTGAAACGTCTTGGAATAGCTATGCCAAGCTATTTGTTGGATGCCTTGCTGGTGAAAATGGACACGAACCAAAACGGACTTATCGAGATGAAGGAGGTGCAACGCACGTTCCGTCCCGAGCCTCTTGACGAGAGCAAGGTCAAGGAGCTCCGTCGTCGGTCCATCGAGCTGGGTCTCACACTGCGGGAAGCCAATGCCGTGTCCCCTGAAGAGTTGCAAGAGCTTTTGGAAGGTGATGACCTGGCATCTCCGGCTTCAGGGGATGCCATCGCAGCGCAGCTCAAGCGAGAACTCCTGGAGAAAGAACGGCTTCTGGAGGAGGCCCGAAAGGAAATCGAGCGGGAGAAGGCCCAGCGTGCCGCAGAGGTGGGTGTGCTCAAGCCATGGGGTTAGCCGTGTCTTTGTGTTCGCTGCCCATGGCGCAGGCAGCAGAACGCCAAGCAGCCAAAGTGCTCGAAGAAGCCAAGGTCAGCAGGTCAGTGATCCCTTTTCAGCCCAGAAAGAAGGCTTCCGAGGCTAGGCCCTAGGCCTCCTAGCGCGAGCGCGGCTGAGGCAAAGGACGCCTTGGCAGAAGAACGCAAGGCCGAGGCCAGGCCAAGAGAGAGCCGGGAGACGACGGCAGAGCTCTCTTTCTCATAGTCTCATCTCTTCTTCTCTTCTTCGGAGTCTGAGGAACCTGCAGTTTTGCCAGGCTTTGGAGCGGGCGGCCATGTGGAGGGAGGAGTTTGCAACTGAGCCCGGGGCTGCTCTTTCGTCTCTTCGGCTTCGTTTTCGCTGAGGCAGGCTTTGCTTCGGGAGAAGCGGCTGCAGGCAGCAGAACCTGTTCAGAGAAGCTCTGGCGAGTCTGACTCGTCCGCGAACGCAGGAGAGGAAGGAGCTGGAGGAAAGGACTCGAATGGAAGCTGAGGTCCTCCTCCGGATTGCAAGGGTCTGCAACGGTACAAAGAGTCAGAACGGAGCGTCCGGGAAATTTGCCTCTTGCCAGGAGATGCACATGCGACGCATTGTCCTGGAAAAGGTGGCGGGTTCTTTGGGTTTTTTTCAGCGTCTCACAGAGTCTCCGGGACAGGAGAAGCGGCTGCGAGAGAAAGAGCAGCTGGCGAAGCGAATAGAAGAAATGGAGGCCAGCGGTCTGCAACGACATTCAGCAACTCGAGAAATGTGTATTGGTCGTTCAAGTTTAATGGACTCAGGGACTTACGAAGCTATAAGCGGCTTGCAGTGCTGGGTGCTTGTCTCGGACAAGCTTCAGCCCCAGTCCGCACTTTTACAACACGACTCACGACTCCGAATTTCTGCGGCACGGTCGCAGTGTCCGCGACGCCATCTTGTCGATGGCCGCTACATGTTGTCAGCTCTAAAGACACGGTAGACAGTCTTTGAGAAGTTCAATCTCGCTGGTCTCTCTACCCCCTTTGCGCAAGTTGTGTCAAGCTGTGATCTATCGCACAACACGCCTGGTATGGGGTTGTCTACCTCTTGCATTTGCATCCGGGCTGGCGCAAGGAGCGACAACGGGAGAAGTATGCAGTGAACTCAGCACTGAGCGCCCTTTCAGATGCTGCATGGCTCCTACCAGTTGTGGAGGCATCGAGGATTCAAGCACTCTGGAGAGCAAAGAAAGTGCAACGCGCCATCGAGGTTTGAAGCAGCCTGTGTGAGATGTGTGAAGGCATTGCAAGCTGGTCACATCCTTTAAATACCAGGCACAGAAGAAATTGGCGTTTGAACAGAGGCCGGTTGTCTTAGATTGCCGGCATCATGCTCAGCTCTTTTCAGACTTTCTTCAAGAAGTGTGCGGTGAGCCGCCAGGAGACAAGGTCGTGTCGTCAGACAACTGGAGCCTTCTCGGATTCCATTGTTTCGACCACATCTTGAGCTTTCCACGTGCTGGCTGTTCGTACTGCATCGGAACAACTGCACCCGTCCAGCAAGGAACGAGTCCAAGCAAGGAAGCGAGTGGAGGAGCTCGAGAAGAGGAAGAAGGAAGGTGCAGCAGTCCTGATTCAGAAGCTTCAGCGAGGTAGACTGGCTCGAAGGAACTACGACAAGGAGCGGCGTGTTGTGGAAATGAAGAAGCAGAAAGAGGAGTTTGTGAAACGAATTGAGTGGGCGGAGGAAATAAAACGCAAACAGGCCGCCATCAAGATTCAGCGCATGCGTCGCTCGCAGATGGCGCGCCGTTCTGTCTTGGAAGAGATCAGACGCCTGAAGCAAGAGAAGCTGGAGAGGAAGCGGCAGCTTGCGATGGACAAGGCGAAGGAGAGAATTGCCATTGAGCAGAGGATCAAGGAAATGGCAGAGCGACGCAAGGCAAAGGCAGTGACGTCGATTGCAAAAGTCTGGCGTGGCTACAAAGTCCGGGTCGAGACGGCGCGGATCAAACAGGCCCGTGCGACAGCTGCGCGACTTCGGGAGCAGCAGCGCTTGGAGGCCAAGGCTTTGAGGAAGCGCGAGGAAAGGATCGAGCAGCGGCGCCGGGCGGAGGCGGAGAGACGCCGGCAGGAGGACCTGGCTAAAAAGATCGCAAGAGATTTGGAAAGGAAATGGCAAGACAAGGCCGCCAGAAAGATTCAAGCAGCACGACGGGGTCAGCTCGAGAGGCGTCAGCAACTGCGTCTTAGAGAGCTTGAGAAGAAGAGGAAGGTGGCCGAACGAAACGAAAAGGATCGGGCTCAGCGAGCCGTCCTGGCAGCTCAGCAGAAGGATCAAAAAGCAAAGCAATACATGCGAGAGCGAGAGATCCTTCGCAACAAGTGGGAGGATTTAGAGGAAAAGAGACGTCAACAAATCATGGAGAAGATCCAGGCCGTTGTGCGAGGATTCATGACCCGACGCAAAGAGAAGAAAGAGCTTAAAGCTTAGTCCATCCGAGTATGAGTGGCATGTCCTACTGCGGATAGTGCAGACTTCATTTCAAGCGCCCGGAAGTGGAACTCAAGGAAACAAAGGCGTCGTGAGGAGCGCGATGCTGCAAGAAGGGGTCGCGAACTTCGTCGCAAGGAGGCCCATTCTTGTCCGACTCGGTAAAGAACAGCGAGGCATGACAAGAGACTTGCAGAGACGGCAGGAAGAAGATGCACGCAAGAGGGAGCAGCTCTTGCACCTTCCTCGGCATGCTTACCTCTTCGCAACCCGTCTGTCTTGCACGTCAATACAAGGAAGGACCTGGCATGGATCAACAAGAAATTGAAGGCATCTTCGGTAGTGGACCATGCTGTTTCGATGCCTGGTTTCTTTCAGCTTGGATCATCTCAAACCGACCGTTGGCAGGAAATGGAGGAGAAGCGCCGCTACCGCGCTGCCGTCCGCATCCAGGAGTGTCCATCCCACATTGTGTGCCTCTGCGCCGTCTGCACTCGAGTCTGCCTCTCTGTCTTTGTCCCTTTCTGTTTGTCTCTGTCTTGGCCTGTCGGTCCGTCTCTCTGCTTACATGTCCCGGTCGGTCCTTTCTCTCTTCCCTCTTTCTCGTCGACAGTTGTGTCACGGGCCAGTCCAGTCTGTCCGTCCGTCTTCCTTTTGTATCTCCCGATCTTTGCCCTCCCTGTGCTGGAAACTGGAAAGGCGTACATCCGCGGCACTCTCTGCCGGTTCAGTTTCAGGCTCGTCAGAAGTGCTTGCTGTCTTGTGGCTTGCCTGTTACTTGTCCAGGAAGGAACTCAAGGAGAAGCGAGCCAACGAGGAGGCACGAGCAGCACAGAGAGGCTGAGCCTCCTGGGCCAAGCAGATTTTGTTTGCGCTTGAGCTCAACCTTCGAGAGGCGGAAAGGAAGCGAAAGAAGGCGATGTTGGAGGACTTGTGAACCAGCCGAGTGCTTTCGGATCGCAGACTTCTGCAGCTGCCGAGCTGACTCCGTGTGAAGGGGTTCACGAGGCTTGGCTGAGTGGCACAGCATGAAGGTAGAGTCAATGTAGAGTCTTCGATGGAGACCTGGCACTTTTCCGGAGCACCGCTCACAGCACCTGCCCGTGTACGACCCACAAGACTCGGAGAAAGCCTTCAGTCTGTGCAGGGGAGTCACAGCTTCAGAGCAGGACGGCGGCTTGGATTGCTGCCTTTCCTCACGGCCTTTGGCTGCCTTGGCTGCCTCGGGCGAAGAAGGGCCATCCCTGGGAAGTCTCGGCAAGCGTGCGGCGCTGCACCCTCTGAAAATGTGAGCCCTCAAGCTATGCCAGCACAGATCACATCCAGGATTCGCTTGTGGCGTGCCCTAGTGCGCGGGGACGCTCATACAATAGGAACTCTAGCGGAGGCTGCTGGCGTCAGCTCGAAAGAAGCCAGCCACCACTTGGAGCACGTTATGCGGCAGGCAAGAACTCTGAAGAACAAGTCTGCGGAATGGCGCATGATGCGAGAAATACCGACGGAATGGGACGGCAGCAGTGTGCGAGTGCAAGTCACCCCTGTCACATGTGATGATTGTGGTTGGGCAGCTGAGTTTGTGTCTCGTCGCATGAGCAATATCCGTCGCTGCAAGAGGTGCGGCAGCCGACATGTAAGCCCTGTTTTCGTGCAGCTGGTGTACTCCACCCGTGCTAGCCGAGTTGAAAGAATGCCCAATGCGCCAATGCCAAGTGAGAGCCGAGCTGCTCGCACCTGAGCCTTCTCGGCCAAGATCCGAGCGCGCCAGGAGGCGAAGAGACAACGAATTCAGAGGGAGGAAGCAGAACGCAAGGCAAGGACTTTTCAGCACAGCTCCGACCTTTCGCTGTGCAGTTGTCTGCAGGAAGCTCTGCGAAAAGAGATCGCAGCAAGATCCCAAGCAACCGTGAAGCATGATCATGGTGAGAGCACTTCGTTACAATGGCATCTTAAGCTGAGTTCCCGGGCTAGCGTGCGATGTGTGGGAGTGCTGTCCTGCGGCGGCAAGAGGCCACGAAGAAGAAGCTCGATGAGATGAAGATAAAGCGCCGTAAGGCGGGAAAGAGCAAAAACCATCGATGCCTGAGCCAGTGCCAGTGTGCCAGTTCCAGTGCAAGCAGAGTGCCTTCGGGCCTTGCAGGTTGCGGCGACGAAAGTTCAAGCCGTCCGGCGGGGCCAGCTGGCAAGGCCGAGATCGCGGGCAGAAGCGTTGCCCCTTCTTGCGTTCCTTGTTGAGCCTTATTGCCCTTGGTTTTTTTTGTCTTGTGGCTCGCATTGCCCAGGCGAGAGTATCGCCGATACAAGGAGGCAAAGCGGAAGGAGGACTGTTTCTTGCAGTTTCATCGGAGCCTCAATGCGGCTCGTCTAGCTCCCTCGGAGCAACCGCAAGGCCAACATTGTGAACCCTCGGTGTCACTTGTCGAGTTGCCAGGAGGAAGAGAAGCAAAGGGAGGACAGATGGCGCAAGGACCGGGAGAAGCAGAAGAAGGAGGTCCGCCAACTCCACGCAACACTGCACCACATGTCAGCTGCTGAAAATGGTGGGGCCTGTGCAGGAAGATGCCTACTTTGAACGTGTTCGGGAGCAGGACAACATGCTTGTGTGCACAGCAGTTGGGCTTGTTTTCACATAGATACTTCCAGATTGCTGCAGAATCTTGTGGGGCCGTAGCCGCACGGGCACGGGGTGGCTGCTGGGGGCAGGGGGGTGTTCAGCTGAACAGAAAAGCTCTCAGAGCATCCCCCTGCTTGCACACATGGCGAAAGCCGGGCAGCCCAGTCGAAGAATAAGCATGCATAGCTGAGACTCTGCCCGGTAATAGCAGGGCAAGTTTGTTGAACATGTGGTCAGCAGGAGAAGATCAGACAGCAGCGGAAGCGCGTGCCCATCTTACCATGACAGCATGCCGGCAATGTAAGTTCCTGCATTCCTGTATTTGCGTTCGCAATGGTCGGAAATATATGCAAGCAAGGCATTTCGAGGGAAGAACTGCGACTTTCACAGAGCACTCAGAGCAGAATGACTGCTTGTAGAGGGTGAATAACACAGAGAAGGATGGGGAGAGAGGCAGGTTGATCCAATCGAACAACCATAAGTTCGCCTGCTGTTTCGTCAACCATTGCTACAGTCGGGCGCATTGCGCTGGTTGAATAAGACGAGTTGCGTGCAGAGCCCGTAAGTCTTGTGAGCTGCTGCAGTCAGCAAGCATCGTAAACTCTTAGTGGCTCGGTGGTGCTCGTCCATTCCGTCACAGTTCTGGATAGGTGCTTGTGGAGACACAAAGAGGAGGGGCATTTGTTTTTGTCAATTTTTACTCTTATGGCCTTTTGTGCTTTTGGTCTACGACTGCGCTTCGAAGCAATATACAGGTGGAAAGCCGAACGACCTTTAGCCTATGCAACATACCGTGTTGACATGAATTTGATTCCATATTATATTGGTATTAATGCAATATGATATGTATATTGAGATTTCAAAAACGGTAAATCAATAGTAAAATCCAGCTTTGTCAATACTGCATGCTCTGATATAATTTAGTCTGTTTTTAGAAAGAGACTCGCGCAGTTTTATGATTGTATGATTACTATGTCAAGGTTATGCAAAGCCAATATGTTTATAGACAGCTCACAATCATTACTTACTATTGTCATTTTACATACATACTCGTAATGTTAGTTCCTGTTCTGCTATGGCGCAGAATAATATTTTAAACCAATTACTATTGTCACTTTACATAAATACTTGCAATACTAGTTTCCGTTCTGCTATGGCACAGAATAACACTTTATACCATACAACCTAATCGCATGTCATTTACAGCACATCATGTTGTACTTTCTTCTGTTCGATAATACTATGTTGTGTTAAAGTGTTTTTATACTATACTAGACCACATCATACATATATAGATATATATACACACAGAACACCTATGTAGGCATGTATACCAGAGGATAATCTATGTTATGTTGTATTGGGTTTCGTCTTTCAAAAATCTCTGTAAGAGTTCGTAGCCTTATGTAATACATGCTGCACTGTATTATGATACGTAATTTCATCTCATAGCTCTAGACCATGTTGTATTACAGTATATGCGATTATATCATGTTGTATCGGATTGTTTTTAAACCATATGGTAGTTTTGTATCATTCTGCTACCATACAATATGGAACACACATATGACATGCACTATGCTAACGAAACCATGCAACATCAAATATTTTGCTTCGTAATGTAACAGAACATAACCCAACACAGCGTAGTAGTTAATGTAATAATCGGTAACCTACTGAAGCATTGTGCAACATGGCGTGATGCATTTCATGATAAGCCATGCCAGAATAGAAAATAATGCAACATAATCTAGTGTAATGAATACTACATAACATCGTGATAAAAACAGAATAGAATGGCACATACCATGCTGTATATGATATGTTACAGGGCTGTATGCTACAAGATATTCTTCTGTACCGTAGCAGAGCCGATGCTAATACTACACATATTTGTGCAAAATAATGATAGTACATAAAATGAGCTGTCTATGAACATATTGGCTTTGCATAATCTCGATATAGTATTCATATAACTGTGCGAGTCTTTTTCATACAGCATTAGACTAAATCATGGCATAGCATTTAGTATTGACAAAAAACTGGAGTTACTATTGATTTGACGCTTGAATCATCTCAATACACATATCATATTGAATTGATTTCAAAAATGTTGAAGAATAGAGAAGTGCATCCCATCTAATCTTATCAAATTCATGGCAATACTGTATTTTGCGTAGGCTGAAGCTCGTTCGGCTTTCCGCATGTATCTTGCTTCGAAGCTCTGTACGTCAAGACTTGGGCCTCCAGCCCGCGCCCAACCCCCCCCCCCCCCCCCCCCACCCCCTCCCAGCTTTCCGCAGGCCCGCAAGACAAACACAATGCCAAAACAAGGAAACAAGCAAAAGGAGAGAAATAGAACTCGATCCCCCCAAAGACAGCCGCGCCTTGTTGTTTTCGCTTGCTACAGTGACTTAGGAAGTCGAGCACGCTCGCAAGCGATACGAGCGATTCCAGGATCGCCTGTGCAGGGGCAGCATGAATGAGCATCTGACAAGCCAGGTTTCTACTGTCTTCGACTCTCTGCAGGAACTGTCCTGAAACTGCTTGTGCAAGGAGTACCAGCTGACCAGGGCTGCTCTTATGATCCAAGCAGCACGCCGGCTGCAGCTGGCAAGGCCTGGAGAGGGTACGGATCTAGTCACTAAATCCAGCGAAGTTGGTGGTACCAGTGCTTTGCTCTCCTGCCAGTATTGTGCGAAGAAACGATTGTGGCTCCAATGCGGATGCCGGCTCAGGCGTAGAGTGGTTGAAGAAATGTCTTGAGCTTAGAACGCCGTCCTTCACGCTCAACTCTTGATACAGCACCGCCATGAAGTACATGAAACCATGCTTGCGGCCCGTCAGGTTGGGCACGTGCTGTGATACCCAGGAAGAAAATCAGAGACAAGCTTGAAGCAGAACGGCAGGAGAGAAGACGGCAGAAGGCCATTGAGAAGGCCAGCTGCATCCATATTCCACTATGTGGCAGCATGCCGTGGACGAGACACGCATCAGGCCAAGATAGAGCGACGTCTAAAAGCAATGGAAGAGAAGCGGCGCAATGATGCTGCCATGGTGATTCAGGTGGCTATAATAACACTGCTGCAGTCAATTCTCATCTTGATATCCACAGGCACGTCGTCGCCACCAAGTGCAAAAGCGAGCACTGATCCTGGACAAGCAGCAGAGGCGCGGCAGGTTGTAACGTTGAGCCCTGGCCAGCATGCACTGTACCGCTCCATGATGGCGGCGTGCTGTTGGCCAGGGCCATGGTGAAACGAAACCTTCGAGGAGCAGCCATGAGGGAGCTCTTTGCTGAAGGAGACGAGACGACGAACGAAACCGATTGGGACCGCCAACCTCCCGCCTCCCGCATGCGCTTCTCAGCCTGTGCAGGAGAAGTGGCTGCTGCCGCAGCGGCCCCGGGGCCATCGCAAGTGCCGGGACAGTGCCCCTCGCCAGGCACGAAGGAGAGCGGTGACTGCATCATTGATCCCACCTGTGCAGAAGGTGCAGCCGGACCGCCCTTCGGAGCGGCTCCGTGTCAGCTTCCCTTGGCCACACAGGCTGTGCCTCAAATGGCCACCAACACTAGACCACTTGCGCAGTCCTACAGCCCAGTCCAAGCTGACGGAGCTACATCTGCCCTGTCGGAGTTCGGGGAGAGCTATTTTCCTGAGTTCGGTCGCAGCCCGGAACACACATCTCAGCCGTCCCAGCTACCGGCCGCTTGTCCCTTCGGAGCCCAGGCCCAGCCTATGCCAGCACACATGACAGGAAACATGCCAGGGACAGCAACCAGCTTTCAACAAAGCATGGGCATGCCGGGCATGCCCATGCAAGAGCAGACGCCTCCAGGCTACAGATCTGGAGCTGTATCGCAGGCTGGCTTGAAGCAAGTTGGAGGGTGTGGATTCAAGACTCTCCGAGTTCCTATGACCTATGAGCTCGGCTTTCAGTCTGAACTCTTCGAGCTCGTACCGTTTAAAAGTGCAGCATAGCAGCTCAAACTGAGGCGCCTGTCACTTAGAAGAGCTTTTCAGTAGCGCATGCTTTCTGCAGGCAGATCCTCGAAGTGCCCAGATGAGCTTGCAAAGGCCAGGCCAGCGTTATCTCTTGACATGTTGCTGTGCCAGTGGGCCTGATCCCCACTAGGTCTCCATAGGGCAGTCACGACAAATTCACACGTTGGCAAAAGTCCAAAGGTCAAGTATAATCGCACCAGTCTTACCGATCCAGGAATCTAGGCAGAATCCTCGAACCTAGGCATCCTTCGCACGTCAAGTCTCTGGCTTCCGAGTGAAATTGATCAAGTTTCGTACCATTGGCGCTGGAAGTCTGGGCCACCTACTTCCCGTGTAGTGGCATGGGGCAGGGCTAAACTTCGGCATGGCAATGCTTCTCACCAAACCTGTTCCAAAAAACCAAACCGCTTCAATACCAGAGAAGCATTCGAGAGCTTGCCAAATGCAATCCTTCAAGGGCAGCTGGACTTTCTTACTCTACACCCGCAAGCCAGCATGCAAATGCATGCAGAGTAAGCGCTTTCTCGATCAACGAGGCAAGCCATGCTTCGCCGCGCTGCGGAGTTTGCAGCCGCACAGAACCGTTAGTGAGTGTGGACCCCATCTTCCACTATCCACCAGCATCTGCAGAGTGGTTGCGAATGATAGCAGGGCTTGTCAATGAATGTGTTGTTGTGATGTTTGTTTGGTGGAGTTGTTTGAGATGGGGTGCCGGCCAGAGAGCAACATTGAATGGCCAAAGAGCGCTTGATTGCTATCTGAGCCTTGTTAATGAAGCCTGACCGTTGCAAGGCAACGACGCGTGGCAGAATCGAGAGGTTTAACAAAATGGCACTAACGAAAGGTTCTGATACGGATACGTACCTGCTGCTCCTCCAGAATTTCGTAAGATTATTCAACTTTCCGCCAAGCAGTTGAAGTCAATCAAGATAGGTGGCAAGAACGTGCATGTACTGTAGAAGCGAATACCTGTGCAGTCTTCTGCTGGCAGACGTTACACATGTACGCGGACGTGGGGGCAAGTGGTCACCAGATGATGTACCCCACGGATCCAATATGCAGCACATCAGGGACCGTTGCACATGTGTCAGCAGCTGTTTTTTCGTTTCACAAAGCGGAGCATTGTCAGACGGCAGCTGCAGCAAAAGCTGCCACCAGGCAGAAGGTCCACACATCGTCGACATCGTGCAAGCCTTCCAGCAGCATAAGACTTACAGCAGCCAGCACTTTCTCGAGACCTGAAGCAGCTGAGCAGAACAAGCCTTTGATTCAGCCTGTGTTTGCCATGTCGACTTCTTTCGGCACCTTTGAGCCATCAGATGCTGTCCTGGCAGCAATGCAGGCAGGCTTGTCGCTTGCCGAACTTGATTGAACTTTTTGGCTGCACCGTGAGGCGCGTGTGGGTGCGGCCCGGGCTGTTGATCTCATCAGAGGCCACATGTAAGAAAAACCAGCAAGGGGAAAGGGGTTCTGGGAAGTGCTTCCGCTTCCGTGCCGCGACAACCTTGAGATCCACGAGTCATATCACCTTGCAAGGTGTAGTCACTAGAGTTAGTTGCAATGCTACCAAAAAGCTCGTTCCAGCAACAGTTTTCCTTTTATGAAGCAGCCCGGCACACCCCAGCGACAAATGCATAACAGGGATTGCCTCGTGCTTCTTGACCCATGCCACGAGAATTTGAGGTTTCGAAGGGCCCAGAATCGAGAACACACTACTGCAAAGTTAGTTTTCGGACTAGATCAGTCTCAGTTTCTTTCCAAAATCGCCTGGAAAGGTCAGACACCAAGAGCTGACGAATTGGTACACACTTTTGCTTTATGCCGTTTATAGCCGAACATTTCAACAGCCGTCGGGGGCAGGAACGTGGTTTTCCTGACACCTTAACGCCTTCGACAGACTGTGCGCAAGCTTTGATTGCTTTATGCAGGAGACGACGAGCTGATGCCAGCGTCTTAAGCACAGCTAATCATCGGTGCTAGAGTTTTGATTTGACCACATTTGGCCAAAGTCCTGCGGCCTTTGTGCGATGCCTTCCAGCAGTCTTAGCCCTTCCTGCGTTGCCCCGATCAGGTCACAACGACAGAAGGAAGCAGGCTAATCACATCTGCGAGTGCATGTTTGGCGCTGTTTGGCAGTGGTCCTCAATCAAGACCTGGTTGCTCATGTCAGGCCAGCAGCCTGCCGCACCATCTGCGCCCTCCTTTAAATTGCACGGAGGGTACCGGGAAACGGTGTGCTTTCCTTAGCGTCCATTTGCAGTTGAATGCTCTAGAATCACGGACAGCTTAGAATGGTGGTTTCTCCAACCAAGCTGTGAAATACTATGCTGTCAGGCCCGCAGAACACAAGAATTTGCCGCCTGCAGTGATGCGTGTTGCTGAGACAGGCGCATTCCGGGATGCCATATGACAGTCAATCGCAAGTCTACGTTCTGGAGGTGGAGTCTCTTTCGGCATCAAAGAGGCGCAATCTGAGCTTTCATGCTTCGAGCAGCAAACGGACGATGTTCCCCAGCTCTTTCGAACAAGCCCGGGGCTTCAAGGTGAGTGCACTTTGCACATCGTGATGTCTCACTCCAGGGGACCCTTTGGACGTTCAGGGGATCCATTTCCGCTAGCCTTCTGGATTCGTCAGATTCAGCAGGGCGCAAGACATGGTGAAGGCCATGAAATAGAGTCTGCAGGAAAGTGCCCAATCGCTGCCGTTTACGCCGCCAAGCCCACCCAAGCGTGCGCTGTTGAACCTGGCAGAGCAGAGTTGCTATGGACAAAGACGTGTGCAGGATCTGCTACAACACCATCAGTGAGGCGGATGGGGCATCGCTGGAGTCATGTAATCGGGCTGCGTTGGAGGGTTCTACTGCGCCCAAGAATGACAAAGCCTGCCCTCAAGTGCACCGAGTATGCCTGTCGAAGTACCTGATCATCCAGGCCGAAGACGGCAAGTTTCCTTGTACCTGTCCCTTCTGCTTGAGACCGCTATCGCTGCGTGAAGTGCACCGGAGTCTTTCTCCCCGAGCCTGTCGTGCCTGGCTGCGGCTGCACAATCTTTGGCGTGAGCTGCGGGAGGTTCCTCGACCAGCGCAAGATCACACGGATACTTTGGAAGTGGAGGAGGTCAGGATGATGCAGGACTTTGGATGCAGAAGATGCCCGCGGTGTGGGGTGTGGATTGAGAAGCAAGAGCCTGGTTGGCTCACCGGCTGTGACAAGATGACCTGTCGCTGTGGAGGCAGCAAGTAGTATCATCAAATTCTATTTTCGGGCCTCTAGGACTATGGTTGCAGGCTTTGTCGGCAACCCTTCTGCCTTGTGTTTGCAAAAGGTTTTTTCGGCCACATGTGACTTTGTTACCAGTCCAGCCTTGAGCAGCATTTGCAGTGCAGGTCGGTTCTGTTTTCGATGCGGAAGCGTGGAAGCGCTTTGCAGTTGCAGTTTGGGTCATGACTTCATCGAGCAGGAGTTCGTTAAGGCTGACTATGCCCTGCGTCTGCCCTGGCCAATATCTGAGCTCTTCAGGGAGGGAACCAAGGCTGAAAGCGGCGCCACAAGCGACGAGGCGTCCACGTCCTCGACGGGCATTGGCTCAAACGAAGGTCATTCCGTGGCAGGGCAGGCGACAGAAACTCTTCAGCAGATGTTTCTGTTTGTTGGGTTCTAATCCATTCGGCTTTTTGCCAGGGGTGAAGACCTCCGCAGTACGGGTAGCCTCTGCGTAATCCTGACAAGAGTAGCCTCTGCGTCCTGGCAAGAGTTTCGTCTGTGCCCCCGAGGAAGCGGAATGCCACGGAGCAGATGTGACCGTTCCCTTGGGGATCCTTTTCCTGTAAGGAGCCGAAGCAGTTGCTGCCCAACCTGAGTTCCATGGATGTACGACATCTTGGCATGGAGCCCTGAGCTTGCTTCGATCACGTCGCAGGGTTCGCGAAGGGATCGCTTCTGACCAATCACGAGCTCGATGTGTGGCATGTTCACACTTTTCATGCAGTTCATTTCGCTCCGCCTGTTCTGAAGTGATGCCTCACGGGGTTTCCAGCTTCAAGATTTGGGCGGAACAGGCTGCTTCGAAAAGGAGCGTGGTTCGAGTGGTGCTGGTGACTTGCTGCGCAGTTTGGTCGTGTGCTAGTTGTGTAGAGGCATCTCGCCAATACGGGCCTCCAACAAGCAGCCGGGATGATGCGGAGCCTCAAGGCAAAAGGTCGCTGAGGGTTGCTGTCGCCCATAGATTCTGTGGTCGCAGGTGTCTTTACCATTGGCTCCGCGAGCTCATCACGCAGCAGGGAATTGCCGCAGCAAGTTCTGTTCTCAACGGGCGAAAACTCGTTCTGCTAAAATGCTGGACTGGGGCCGCAGGGAATGTCTCCGCAAGATTGGCTCTCAGCGTTGCTCCTTCCCACGCCAAAGCCCATCTGAGAAGGTCTTTGAAGCTTGGGACGTAGGAACAGAGGGAGCGCAGTCCTGCAGCAGGATGGCTAGGCGTGGATTTTCCACGCAGGGATCCACCGTGAAGCTTGGATCCACCAGAGCCAAGAGTTCGGACAGAAGCGGTCTGTTCGACAGCACGCATGCAGGTTTTCGTCATGTCAGCTGTCTCAGGAAGGATCAGGCTCCGAAGCAGTTTGGTGCCCATATCGGAGACCCAGAGGCACCGATTCGATCAAGACTCCACTGATCGCATGTTTGAAAGCTTTCTCAGGAGCTGGTGAAGCGTCTGTCGGCTCCCGATTTCTTCCGTCACATGTGCCAGTGACATGACCCGCAGCGAGGCAGAAGAAATGGAACGGAACATCGATCATAGAGGCCCTGAAGTTCAAGCTCAAGGAGAGGGGAGAGGGTGCCTACAAGAGCTTGCAGAGGGCTGATGCATCCTTCTGCTTGATGCCCGCCTTGTGGCAGGAGTATGAAGCTAGATATGGAGTTTTCGACGAAAACAAGAACCGCCACGGAGAGCCTCAGATGATCCAGACTTGTGTGTGTCACAGCAGGATGCACAGTCATGGATGCTGAGGATAAAGAGCTGGCAATCTTGCAGAAGGCACTCCTTTTCGGCTGCGTTGCGTGCATTGTAAGACGAGCCCAGTGGCACATGCCATGAATTCATTGGATCGAGTTGGCCGGACGAAGGATTTTGCTGTATGAGCTGAGCTGTGAGGTGGTGGAAGACGGCGAGGTGGCGGAAAGTTTGCAACCGTCGGAGCGAGCCACTTTGCACATCCTGCAGCCTGGCCCCCAGGAGACATACCAGCTTTGACGTGTTGAGAGGTTTCGGTCATTTGAGCAGCCACAGGCATGGCTTGCGGGACTACATTGACTTTGCCCTAGACGAGGTCGGGACCCCTTTGCACTGCCCAGTATAAAAGGCGGCTGTTTCTGACTGTCAACAACGGGAACTTTCCTCTGTATCGCATGGATGTGCATGCCGCAGCCGCATGCTCAGACTCAGTCGCTCTTTCGCCCACTGGAAGTGCTTCGTCTGGATGCCAATATAGAGGGACACGGAGCGATGTCTTTTTGTTCGCAGGATGAACTCCTTGTGCACAGCAACATTCACTATGCAAGAGCTCTTCTGATGTTGCGTCTGCACGTGCCAAAGAAGTCCGACGGCAGAATTTTCAAGCACACATCCTCAGAAGAAAGAAATTGCTTAGCACCGACCTGTCCCGCACAAGTCCGTCCAGCCGGGTGTGGGCGGCCCCTGTCGAGCAAGCTCTGCGTAAACCTGGTCCAAGCCTGCACCAGCCGAAACCATGCGCAAGCGCTCTAGATTCTAGTCATGCCAACGTGGTCAGCAGCAAAATGGGCGAGGTCAGAAGGCAGATTGTCGAGGTCAGAAAAAACACGAGCATTAGCAAGAATGACAGACAAGAAACGTTTCTTCATACATGGTGCTGTACCACAAGGGCTTAAGGCTTTCATTCGAGGTGTGGGACGCTATCCGAACCGAGGTGTGGGAGAAAGATGCAGCTGGTGGCTTTCTTCGTGCTGAGGGTTGGTCTTGCCCTGGCCGCGGACAGCCTGCATAGCATAGAAGCTTCAGAAGTACAACGCGCTCTGAACGTGGACGAAACATGCCAGGACGGGCAGGCGGCACTGATGAGCGGTAGAACCTAGACATGTTGCTTGCAGTCAGAGGACGGCAGATGTTCCACTTCGCTGCTGCAAGTTGTCCTGCCTCCCAGTTTGGGTCTGGCACATGCGCGTGTCAATCAACTTCATCTTGAGCTGTGATCTGCGCAAAACTGAGGCTGGGAAGAACGTTGTGAACGACACAACAGGCATTTGTCCAACTGTGCGTTCACATGAACACCATGCTGCGTCACATTTGACATACAGCCTGGTTCAGCCACGGATGACAACGCAGCTCCGTCGTACAGGTGATGAACGCGGCTGTCGAACTTGTGAGACGTCTTGCTTCGATCTGCGACGTGACCGACTTGAGTGCACTGATCCCTGGTCTCTTGATGGCACGTTGGTGCAGTGGCAGCAGCTTCAAATGCTCTGAAAGTGTTGGCGGCACATGTAGCCGGCATGCGCGATCAGATGTTTCCTCATAGTTTTCTCTCTTTTGAAGTGGGTGCAGTGTGCTTGTGTGCATAGGAATGCAGCAGCTGCGGCTCCGTCTGGCATGCCCAGTTTGGGAACACTGTCACATAGACATAGGAGATAGGGAGAAATCAGCTAACGTCGATGTCTCATTCGACAGCATGCTCTGAACTCCCATGCTGCGACTGTGCCGGTCATTTGAGGAAACAGTACGGCTTGCACTGCGATCTTCCGCACATTGCAAAGTTGTGTCCCAAGACGTGCGGCTGCTGCCGGAGCTGCTCAGATCCTCGGCTCGACAACGTTTGACAGTGTTTGATCGGTTTTGTAGCGAACCTTTGGACTGTGTGCATACTGCGAATTCAGCACCTGCAACAGTTGTCTTGCAGACATGTTGACGAACCCTCCCAAACGAGCAACCCTCTCAGCCAAGATCTGCACAATTCCACGGTCGTGCTACTGACGGCCTGAGTCTGAAAACTTTCTTTGGCTTCCGCTGGCCAAAGACTAGCCTTGCTTGTGCGGGAAGCTACAAGGGCCACCCGCCATGCCATGTCGTTTCAAGCAGTACCTGTTTCACTCGAGAGTTGCGCGCGGAGTTGCAGAAACAAGGTGTCTGCGTCCCTGGCCAGTAGGTTCTTTCCGTGCTTGGTCATGCTCACATCCTGGCGACCTCGCAGTTGGGGCGACACGCGCGCGTGGTCAGCACCGTGACGGACGAGGAGGAGTTTGCCTGGAGCAGACAAGGTTCTTTTGTATTTTTCTGAAGCTGGACGCTGCCATCACTTGTAAGAACTTCGCATCAGGTGACCCAACCTACAATCCTTGCTTAAAGTGTTCTATAGCTGCTACCTCAGTTTGTGCACTTCTTAGTTAAAGCCCCTCGAGACTGCTTTCTGATCAGGTCGAGAATGCTGTGGGCGACGACATGGAACGAACTTCACCTCCGAAGATGTTCTTTGGTGGCTCGCCTGCAAATCCCGTGACTGGAGCTGAGCTGTCCGCAGCCGAGATCAGCTGACACGTGTGGCCGAATTCGGGGAGGCACTTTGTGGCCAGTGCATTTTTGCGGGGATCTCGTCCCTGTTCCTGCTCTCTCCATATCGCGCCGCTCTCTCTGCTGCTGTCTCGCGGCCCTGGCCCTTCTCGCTTGCTGCTCGCTGGCGTTGCAACTCCGCGTCTGCGAGAGGACGCCTGGTGGTTCACTTCCCCGGCTCCTGGGGGCAGGGCATTCTCCGTGCTGTTCTCAGCTTCCACAAGCTATTCTCCAGTGCTTCGATCTGCGCACGCAGGAAGCTGAGAGGCGCAGCTTCTTCGAGCACGGGCCACAGGCCCGCTTCGAAGCGCTTTGCTAAAGAGTTGGATTTGTTGGTTCCTTCAGGTTCCTTAGTCTTTGCCAGCTGCTAGTAGTGCAGGCAAGACCATGACAGGACAAGGTTTGAATAGGCAGCAGCAGGCAAGAATGCAACAGCCAGTCGGCTTTGCGTGATCACTGCATGGGATCTCTATTGCATTGCTGAGTAAGCGTCCGTAGCTGAAAGGATCAAGAAGTACCAGTTGCAACCCAGCAACCATGGTCCCCGACTCAGCCCGGAAGGCTTGGCGGCCTCAGCCATTTTGAAAGTTGAAGCCCAGCAGAGCTGCAAAGAAGGCCTGCGCACCTGCATTCCTCCGAGGTATGACCCATCGGCCCCATCGGAGAGGCTGCATCATGCCTGTATGCCCTGTATGCTTGTGTTTCGGAATCGCAGAACAGACGGCGGTTGCTGCTTTTTGGGTATGCTTCATTGGTGTTGCAAGTTCTGGAAATCCTGCGTGCTCTGCAGGTTTAGTCTTATCTGAAACCTGAGGCCTGTTAGTGGCCTTTTGATGAATTCAGCGGTCATTTTGTCTTACCACAGTGGTGTGGACGAGACTGGCGCAGTCTTACGATGTGGGTCCTCGGACCCTGATTAGGCATGACATTCAGACGGCAAGGCGCAGAATGCGCCGGTGGTTGCCGGAAAAGCATTGGTGTACAGGAGTGGCCAGGCATGTCGAAAGAATTTCGTTGCATAGTTGAACAGCTTGCTGTTCTGTTCCATTCTGGACTTTTACCATCGAGGTGCCACCGTAGGTGCTGAGCTGCAGCTTCAGCAATAGGATTTACTCCCAAGGCAGCACTCTTTTGAGAAGAGCGGTGCAGTGGAAGAGCTCGCAATGTGGCAGTAGGCAACCTGTTGCCACATTTAGCTAGGGGCTAGGGACTTTGGACAATAGGCAAAGCCAGAGGCTTATGAAGTCCGAAAAGTGTGGTAATGGGAGGCCGGTTCTGCAGCAGCATATCTACCCCATCCTCGCTTTGGCAATGCTGCATCTCTTCTTGTCCCAGGGCAGGACGCACAAGCACATGGTATTCTAAGTTTGGAAAGGAAAGTTTCTCGCTTTCAGCTTAGGCGTTGCAATCGGTTTGTCTTCGTGCTCAGGTGCAGGACCTTGCTGCACAAGGCATGTGTTACACAGTTGCTCTTGGTGGCATGTGTTTCTCGTTGGCGAAGCAACGCGTAGCCACCCATGTCCCAGGAGGCCAGGCGAAAGAGAGCTGCCCGCTGCAGGCACGCATGCAGCATGCGCATCAATGTGGACATGAGCCACTGGTACCGATAAACAGCCCTTCTACCGGTCGTGATATTACCTTTCGTTGTGGATAATATGTCCAACGGGTTCCCGTGCTTCAGTTGGGTATCATTGCCCGTGGTGAAGCACCAACAACATCACCACTACAGACAGATGGCGTCGGTGCAAGTCCGTCAACTGCCACATTACTTCACCAACCGTCGTGTGGAATTGCAGCGGCAGCCGGGCCATGCTTGCACCAACAAATCACGAAGAATCAGAGCTTTCGAGCCGCCACAGAAAGTCGTCACGGTTTTCCTGGGTTCGATGTTCGAGCAAGTAAACGCAGTATAGTCCTCTGTTGCGTTCCTGGGAGCTCTTGTACTTCTGCAATCCCATGTTAACGAGGATTCATCGCAAGTGCTGAAGATGGACATCCAGTCGGCGCAGTATAGACTAGCAGTTTAATTGCAAGAAGATTGTAGCAAAAAGCACAATACCAATCATGGCAACAATAGGTCTGAGAAAGAGTCAGTCCAGGGTAAACCGAACGGACCGTTAATGGTGCTGATAGCGTTAATACTCAGGTGCGGGCGCATGGGCCGGCCTGCTACTTTGCCCTTTTTACAGTGTTTTGGGAACAGAGGTGTTGGCACCATTGACAGAAACATGCAGGGTTGCAGCGCGTGCCGGAAACTAAGAGGATTTCACTCAGCCGTATTCAGTGTCGTAGTGATCATAATCAGCTTCATCATCATCGCCATCACCATATCATTGTGCATTATGCAAAACCGCCGTAAATTCCAGTCTTTTGGGCATGCTCGCACAAAGCATCAACACCTGTCACAGTGCATCTTATGCCAGAAATGTCAAACATCCTTCAGCAGTATGTTGTAAAGAGTGACGAAACGCTGTAAAGTTGAACGCCTGTAAGAGTGTGTGAACGCCAAACATCCTTGTTGAGTATGTTGCATAAACTGTATAAAGTAGCAGAGCCGCTGCAAGTATCGGTACTGTGCATATGGTCTGCCTGTTCTACGCGTCCAAAAGATGAGAAGAACGCCTTGTGTTCGAGCCACCAGCTCTATGAAGATGTTAAGCAGGGGCAGTTCATCGGCAAACCATCGCTGGGACAGCGAATGCGACGTCATGTGCTGCCTCATTGTTTGGGACTAGCTGCCAAGGGTCGCTGTTCGCAAGCCGTGGAAACGCATGTCGGTTGGGCGATTGCGCAGCTGCAGCTTCAAATTGCTGCCAAGCAGCCCTGGTGCGAGTAGCCATGGAGGCTGACGGGTGCCTAAATGCTGGCACATCCGTCCGAGCATATTATGACATGAACGATCACCCTATGGGGTATCGCTATGTGAAAATGCTGGAGATGCCCAGAGATGGCCCTGCAGATGCGTCCGATCCTCCTGTCGTTGGGGTGTCTCAAGGATGGATTCCTGCAACAGTGGTCGAGGACTACGATCCGAAGCAGAATGGGGGAGCTGGGGTCCTCGTGAAGCTCCACGGCTTCTTTGAAGATGCTTACCGAGAGGAAAAGCCTGTGAGTGGAATGATGTGGAAAGTTCAACCCAACTTGATCTGCTTGAGAAGTTCCCCTCCTGTGAAAATCCAGCTTTCCCTCGTCGTGGTTCGCTGGAAGGAATACTACACAAGGACGACCACCTCCAGGTCGCATAATATTCTGAACGAGGGTTTGATCCGAGATCTGCTCGCTGGGGAGGCTTCCTGCAAGGAGGTCTTCGGCAATAGCGGGGCATACGAGGTCATCTCCGTCTTTGCATCCGCAGGTCGTCACCTAGATGCAGTGCCACGGGAACTCCTGGCCTCAAGCCTGCGAGGATCCAGAAAAGCTGCTCTCTTCTTTCTGTGGCCGACTCTGAAGAAGGGCTCTGGGGAGCAAGGCCATGTGGATGCCGACGCCATGAAGAGTCTTATGACCGGCCTGGAAGGCCTTGGGGTGAAGACTTGCTGGCCGCATCCGTGGTCGCTTTATGAAGATCTTGTGAGCAAGCAATGGGCTCCGCGTGATTGCTCCCGCCTGGAGCTGCGAATTCCTCCCACGACTTCCGTTTCCCGTAAGTCCTTGAATGACATAGGAGTTAAAGCAGTTGCCTCTTCGGCCATCGCGGAGCTGCAGCGGCTCAGCAAAGAGCGGGGTCGGACGCCATTGTCCCAGGATCGCTGTGGTGCTGCCTTCACTAGTTAAAGGGAACACGTTCACGTGTGCACTGACTGCAGCCACGCCCGCACCACACAGTAGCAATCCACAGATGCAACTTGGCAGGAGCAGTACCGAGGCGTTGCGAAGCTCACATACTCCTGGATGGGGGTTGCGGTTCTCCCCTTCGTTGGTGAGGCACCTGAAAGTATTTCTAGCAGTATGAAGTCGATCAACCAACAGTTCTGGGCCCCGCAGCACACCTGTGCCGAGGAAAGCTTGCAGCGAGCTCTGGAGAAGCTTCTTGATGGAATGCCTGACCATGCTCAGTGCTTGGTGCAGGAATGGATAGCGGTGCGACAAGTTGAGTTGATTTTGACGTGCGCTTCTAGCGCATCTTGAGCTGTTATCCTGACGAAGCCCGTGAAGTCACTCCCGCCTGCATGACCGAATGAATTCCCTGTTTCTAATTCCGACACTCATGCCGCTGCTCGTGTATTTTAACTTGCTAGTTGATGTCGCGCCTCTCGCACTGTAACTTGTTTCTGTTCGTCTTTTTCGCAGTCGTCATGTGCCGTCCAGGAGCGTGTCGAAGGAGTTCGCTGCGAACTGCGTGCCTTCTGCTGCAGGGATTTGGCCGCTTCGGATTCCTATGCTATGGAGTTGCTGCGCATGCAGCTGAAGCCACCACAGCATGGCGACCCTTGCCTTAGAGAGCACCGTGTTGTGGCACGAAGCAATCACGCGTAAGCGAAGGAGTGCTGCCAAGGAGTGGGACGCTTCCTTTGCGCTGACCAGCCATAAGACCTTGACGAAGGAAGAGCTTGTGATGCAGAAGTTCTCTGGAGATAGGCGCCTCGTCCACCAATGCTCTATCACGTAGATGTGGTTGGCATCGAGACCTTTCCGTGCCACGCCCCTTGCAAGGAAGACCGTGGATCAAATCGAGGAGGAAGTCCGCCGAACAGCCTTTACTTGGCTTGAGCACTTCAAACTCAAGGGGTGTGCGCCGCATGTCATCCGGATGGACTTCTTGGTCTCTGTTCCTCCCAGTAAGCCTTCGACTGACTTTGAGGTGCACATCTGCGAACTCACAGAGTGTGGGGGTGCGACATGTGGCCTCCATGTCTGTACCCGGACAGCAGCAACACTGAACGAATGCATGGATGGACATGAAGGTGCTGATTTCCCAAAGCCATTGCCCCCCTTCCGATTAGAAATTCAAAGAACTCAGCTCCGCCCAGAGCCGGCAAGGGCGAGCACAGTGAGTAGAAGTCGCCACGAGCGCAGTGACGGCAACGTGCAGAGCATGCAGAGGGTGGAGAATACTCCGAGTGACCGTCCTCCACCTCGACGACGCTTGGAACTCTTTGCTGCTTTGCTGGCAGTGGCCCTGCTGCTTTGGCAGCGAAAGATCCGCACAACTCAGCTGAAGAGACTGTTGGCGCTCCCACCAATCGGCCTTTTCGCAGCTGGTGCAGCTGCCGTTTACATTGTCCGCAATGCGTTGACCTAGTTTTGTCCAATGCGCGCGTGAAAACAATAGTTAAAGTTAAAGGTGAGATTGCGTCCCATGGCGGCGCATAGCAGCGCCTTGAAGGCTTATGCCACATGCCAGGCACCTGCAGATTTGGCTGACATCGACGAGAATATTGAGGCAAGGGACATCATCATCATCGTCGAGACGCGGCCAACAGATGCTTAATTTTAACGCTACGCCGCCCGCCTCGGCTCTCAGGGCGCAGTGGGGTTGAAGCAAGGGTCGAAGAGCCAGGATGCACAGGGGGGGGGGAAGGGGGAGGGGAAAACAGGCAAAGCAGCCGGGCAAGGGGGTGGCAAACGCACGCAAAAAACGGGCGTCTCCAAACTTCCGACGCCTGGGCCTGTGGCCTTGGCGGATTGAACTCTGGGCACGCGAGGCTGAAGTCGTCGGAGATGCCCCAGGACGGTTCCGAGCACGACTGTCATCATCGGCACCTCTGCTTTGTAGCATCGTTGCCTGGCGAGGACGGGACGGCTTTGAGCCGGCCACCAGCAGTAGGCTACCTCGTGAAAACCCAACAGTTCTCCAGAGCGAGGGCGGGAGGCGGGAGGGAGGGAGAAGGGAGGGAGGGGATTTTGCTAACTTCTCACGGTTGCTGGCGTAAGCGAACTGATTGAAGACAATTGCCCAACTCTACACATTAGAACCTTTTTCTCCTGTTTAGGTTGAGCCTGTGTGCGATCATCACATGGCTCCGGGGCAGCCTGTTGCCATGCAGGTCTCCAAAGCCTTCATCCAGTCCGAAGTCTGGCGGCAGTCGACGAATGTGCGCCGAGTGATCGCGAGTTCGTTTATTATTCGTCCCTCGAGTGGGATTCGTGGCATCAATGGCCCATGCCATCGGGATCTGGGATGTTCGTGGGCCAGGCATTTGAGATGACTTCATTGCCAGGGATGGGAGGTGGTACTAAGCACGAGATTCCTTCCCAAAGCCCGGCTGGACAGGTCGCAAGACGAACAGACGTCAATGCATGCAGCGGCTGACGAAGCCCTTCTGCGAGCAATCGCGCAGGTGACGGGCTCAGCTCAGTCTTTGGTGTCTGTGTCGTAGCTTCTGCAGTAGGCTGCTTTCCAACACAAGGCAAGTGCCGGACTGTCGATGGACGCGAGCTGCCTGGAGGTGCGCTGTGCTCTGGTCTGCCAGCAGTGAACAGTGCCACAGTGCTGGTGCAGGAAAATGAGAGCGTCCAGGAAGGGCTGCCGAGTGTCTCCGTGTCGAAGCTCCCGAGCGCCGTGACAGTGGCAGGCTGCCTCTGCCTCGCACAGACAATTCGAAACTTGAGTAGAACGGCGGCACCAAAGCTTGAGGCCTCTAGGAAGCGTAGGGCAGGGTCGCGATGCCAGGGATATGTTGGAGAACGGCTGCAGAGAGCTGAGTCTAGCAGCTTTCGACGAATCGTACATTTGTTTGCCTCGACACGGGTCAGTATGCACTTCTCCAACAAACTGAAAGACCTGTTTGGGAGAGGAAGCTTGGGTTGGGGTGTTGGTTTTTGTTGCTGCTGCAATTGTCGCCGTCGTATTTGTCGAAGGAAGTCGTGGTTGCTGTTGCCGCTGCAATTGCAGCTGCAGCTGCTGCAGCTGCTGGTGCTGGTGCTGTTGTCGTTGTCCTTGTTCGTGCCCTTGTCGTTGTCGTCGTCATTGTTGTCGTTGTCGTCGTCGTCGTTGTTGTTGGTTGAACCACCTAAAGTTGGGGTCAGGCGTAGGCATGTTGAACCGTATACTGCCCTCCCCCATCATCCCGCCCCAGCCCCCGCCTTCCCCGACTTCCCCGCCTTCCTGTGCGTGCGCTCCTTGCATGCGCGCGTGTGCGAGCCCCATGCATACACGCACACTCCACAACGCACAGACCCCTGCATGCACACAGCGCTTTTCACGCGTTCGCACACACCCCTCCACACGCAGCCGCGTGTGCGCAGCCCCACCTGTGTGAACAGTGCTTGCGTTGTGCGCACGCCCGTATGTGCAACGCTGCCAGCCCCCGCCTGTGGCACACAGCCCCCCCCCCTGTGCACGCGCACACAGAGCGCAACCGCACAGATCCTGCGCGCAAACATTCCCGCACACAGGCGCACAGCCCCGGCAGACAAGGTTGCCGCCGGTCTGACCCCGTGCGCGCGCGCCCTGCGCGCACCCCAGCGGTTCGAACGCATCCCCCCTTGTGCACGCACCGGGCGTAAACCCATGCATTACCCCGTGCGCGCACCCACCCTGCTTGGATACCCGGTGCGTGCGCAAAGGAGGTGCCCCCCCCCCCCTCACGCCTCTCCGCTCCCACAACCCGTCCATGCATGCTCGATCCTCCCCGACCATGCTCAGAAAGAAGAACGCTGCCGGCCCACAGTGCGCGGGGATGCGCACGGAGGATATGCACGGGGTGGTTCGCGCGGCCAAGGTATATGTGAGCGCACGGGAGTACGAGGAATGCGCACACAAGGGGGTGCTCGGTGTTCGGGGGGAGACGGCTTAGCCCGAGCAAGGCGTGTGTGCGCGTGCAAGAGGGGTGCGCCGGGGTCCGGGGCCCCATGGGAGGGAGGTTCACGAAGTTGCGGACGCTGTCAACCTTGTTCTTGTTCTTGTTGTTGTTGATGATGTGGTGGTAGCGATCTTGGACTCCTTTCCAGTGCACAGGATGCCTGCTTTCGCGGATGCATGTCGGGGTCATCAGGTCATCGCGAGGTTTTGCACCTAATCGCAAACGTGCTCAATCGTAAATCCGCAATGGCTGGATGCTGAAGAAGTAGATAATCTTTGTGCATGTGTTGAAACCGCCGTTGCAGGGGTACCCGTCGCCACAACCGGGGACTTGGTGTACCTTGGAGGAGGGCGTTGCTGGCGATCATTATGTCTGAGTTACTGCAGCCACTGAAGTCTGAATGTTACCTGGATGTGGCCACATGGCAGGCTGTACGCTGCTGCTCCGGCTGAAAAGCCGGCCAAGAAGCAGAGGTCACTCGCAGCAGATCGATCTGCATTGTTGCTTGTTGTTATCGTTCAACTCCACCCACACAGAAGCCAGACACCTGACGCATTTTCATGCCAGTTCAGTCTCTTTTCCATGCTTGTCCATCCATTTGGATTCGCCTTGTTGTGCAGTGCGGCGCCGGCTCGACCAAGACCTCGAAAGCCCGCGGCCATCTGTCCTTGTGGGAGGGTGCATCGTGAAGAGTTCCAGATTAGTTCTGAGGCAAACGTTCAGCAGCTGCACCTGCTGCATGCAACACTGCAGGCCGCCTTCGGCCATCAGAAGTGCAAGCGCGCACATCGTGGGCAACGGAGCACGTGCTGACGGCGATAGTGGGACGCCTGAACACCACAGAATGAACCACTGCGCCTTTGATGTCCATCTTCTGCAGGTTCACCACAATCGAGAGCCCAGAGCGAAGGGCCGGCGTGTCGGTTGTTGCTAAATGCTGCAGCGACCTGCGGAAGCTCATGAGGGCAAGTTTGCCATTTGAGGCAGATTGGCGTTGGCAACTTGAACCCTGACGGTCGAGGCTGGATACTCAACAGAAATATGTGTTTCTACTCTCTGCAGGCTCTTGCCTTGAGCATGAAGGGGCAAAATTCCCTCTGGAGACTATGACTACGATCCATCCGGAGAGCTGGCCTGATCTGTACCTTTGCAGGATCTTCGCGGCATGGAAGCGTCTCCGGCAGTACAAGCGTGACTAGACCAACGTGGTTTTCGTGATTTGTTATCGATTTTTTGGGAGCTGCAGATAGTTTATCTGAGGTGGGTAGCGCGGCGGGTGTTCGCATATGGCGTCCATCAGGCAAGAGCTTCTCACAAGGCATCAGCACCCTGAGTTTCTCCTGCTGCGCTTCTTCAGGTGTCCAGAAGCTACCACCTGCAAAACTGGAGCCACCGTCAGGATTTGGTGGGCGAGCAAGTCGCCTAACTGCGGAGGACGCTGCCCAGACGTTTCCAGCAATTGGGGAAATTTTAGCAGAATGCGTATTCGTATGGCTTTGAGCATCCACGTAGATTTCGCAACGTGGATTTCTCGGGTTGAGACAGTCCTGGATTCAGGGTTTAAGGTTTAGAAGGTCTGAGCTTTCGGGTTTAGGGCGGGTCCGGGTTGAGTAAGAGCATCAGGGATTTAGGGCTTCGTGTTAAGAGGGGTCTGGGGTTTAGGGCTTCGGGTTAAGAGGGTCCGGGTTTTAGGTGTAGGGTCTCATCCTAAGCATTCAAGTAGGAGGTGCTGGCAGCACAGCTCTAGAAGACAAATTGCATGTATCAACAGCTCCGAGCTCGTGGCTGGTGCTATGGTAAAGCGTGTATATGAGGCCCATCAGAAGTGTTCCTACTGGAAGTAGGTTTAGTGAGTTTAGTGCATGCCGGCACTGGGCATTTGCTTGCGATGGTTTCGGTGGAAGAGCTTTCTCCTCCTCGCCCTCCCTGTCCTGATTGCCAGCCTCTCCTGGTTACTCGCTCATACTTGCTCGGCTGGGTGCGGGGTGGGGTGTTACGCCTTCTTCGGTGTGACACTCCATACGCATGCCTATCTGCAAGCTGGAGGCAGCCACGACACCATAGTTGTTTCCTGACGTTGCTTAGCAGATTTCTGAGTTTCTGCAGAGCCCGCAAAAACCTGCTGGTCCATCAATCTCATCAAGCCCGCTGTTTGGTCGACGCGTTTTGAAACAACAGGACATTGGCAAGATGCCCGGAGACCATTCGGAGGTGCGGCAACAGCGACGTACATCTGCATTCAAGCTTCTGGACTGTGCTGCAGGACCGTGCAAGCAACCGAAGAATACATGGGAAAGAGGCAGGCCGCTTGCACACTTTGCACTGCCGATCTATGCTTCGGGGTGCTACGGCATTGTCCAGCTCCCCGCCTTGCTGTGGATGCGCATCCTCGCTTTCTTCTGACGGCAGGGTGTGCTGCTCTTTGGCCCGAATGGGGTACTCGCACACATGCGCGATCCGGAGCATCGCCATCAGGCTGGCATGGACGGCAAACGAGACCATTCTTGTGATTCCCCTCCGCTGTCACGCCCAGGCCATGCTTCCGCCGTCTGGACCTCCTCAAGGAATCGAACGACGACTGGAGGAGCGGAAAGCAGCAGCTTGGCCACACCAATAAAAGGCACGCGCATGTTAGCTCACAGAGCAAATGGATACTTCCACGCCAACAGGCGGTTGAGGGCTTCAAGGACGTTCAGTGGTCAAGAGTCAAGCATGTTCAGCTTTCAGTTTCAGTCCTTCGACTTCCGTGTCAATCGAAGCCACAATCCTAGCAACAGTAGATTGTCGGGGGCGGGGCATGGCTTGGCTGGTGAACTTAGGATGACACGTGCCAGCATGTGGACACCTGTGCATGTACTCTCTTCATCGGTGGATAGGAGAGGACATGTGCCCTGCACGCATGCACATATACATGCACATGCACTGACGTGCACGTACGTATACACTCGTATAGTCGTACCCATGTGCAGATACATATTCAGAGACAAATGTGGACCTATGGATATACATCCGTGCATCCGGACATACAGACATGCCCACACAAATATGTCTGTCTGTGCGTATACCTTCAGACGTGTATGCACTCAGCATGTTATTTAGGGGCTGCGCCCAGGTGCGGGCAGCGCGAGCTGTTGTCAGAAACCCGCGGTATATAGATAAGTGCAACGTAGGCCCGAAGTGCGCAACTTATGGGTGATCGTAGGCTCTCAGCCCCCGTCGGCCCTGCATGTAGCCCGCACCCCCCGTCCGCCGGACCCCGCTGATGCTCATGATGCGCGCCCTTTGGCGGCTTCCGCAACACACTCAAAAACTTGGGAGTTATGACTTCGCGCCCACGTCGCGCCGCCGGCGCCGGTTGCGGGCGCCCGAGGGCTCATGATGCTCGCCGGCTCGCCTCCTGGGTCGTCCACGGCGGCCCCGAAACCCGCCACACCGCGGGGAATGGCTGCAAAATGCGTGCGCGTTCCGAGACGCCTTCGGGCCAGGCCCCGCGCGGCCCGAGGGAGAAACGAGGGTCCGATGATGCGGGGTCCGGGGCGGGTCGGCGGCACTGTCGGTCGTGGCTTCTGCTTCGCAGACGAAGCTCATTCGTCTGAGCCATAGCTCAGTCCATACAGGGCAGCGAAAAGCTGCCCGATTTAATGGCTGCGGCCACTGCCGCCGACCCCTAAAGGTATGGTAAACCACCAAAATACAGCCTGTGGAGCCGAGTAGTGCCGAGTAGGGCCGAGTAGGGCCGAGTGGTGCCGGGAAGGGGTCGGGCAGACATTGGGGTGCCTTTAAATTACTCTACTACCACTGAAATACCACCAAAATACAGCCTGTGGAGCCGAGTAGTGCCGAGTAGGGCCGAGTAGGGCCGAGTGGTGCCGGGAAGGGGTCGGGCAGACATTGGGGTGCCTTTAAATTACTCTATACCACTGAAATACCGCCAAAATATCTGCGCGACCCCTTCCCGGCACCACTCGGCCCTACTCGGCACTACTCGGCTCCACAGGCTGTATTTTGGTGGTATTTCAGTGGTAGTAGAGTAATTTAAAGCACCCCAATGTCTGCCCGACCCCTTCCCGGCACCACTCGGCCCTACTCGGCCCTACTCGGCACTACTCGGCTCCACAGGGCTGTATTTTGGTGGTATTTCAGTGGTAGTAGAGTAATTTAAAGGCGCCCCAATGTCTGCCCGACCCCTTCCCGGCACCACTCGGCCCTACTCGGCCCTACTCGGCACTACTCGGCTCCACAGGCTGTATGCCTTTAAATTACTCTACTACCACTGAAATACCACCAAAATACAGCCTGTGGAGCCGAGTAGTGCCGAGTAGGGCCGAGTGGTGCCGGGAAGGGGTCGGCAGACCTTTAAATTGCTCTAGTACCACTGAAATACCACCAAAATACAGCCTGTGGCCGAGTCGGGCGGAGCGGTGCCGGGAAGGGGTCGGGCAGACATTGGGGTGCCTTTAAATTACTCTACTACCACTGAAATACCACCAAAATACAGCCTGTGGAGCCGAGTAGTGCCGAGTAGGGCCGAGTAGGGCCGAGTGGTGCCGGGAAGGGGTCGGGCAGACATTGGGGTGCCTTTAAATTACTCTACTACCACTGAAATACCAAAATACAGCCTGTGGAGCCGAGTAGTGCCGAGTAGGGCCGAGTAGGGCCGAGTGGTGTGCCGGGAAGGGGTCGGGCAGACATTGGGGTGCCTTTAAAGTACTCTACTACCACTGAAATACCACCAAAATACAAAGGGTGGAGCAACTGCGGCCAGCCTGTGGTGCCGAGGAGTGCCGCGTAGGGCCGAGTAGGGCCGAGTAGTGCCGGGAAAGAGTGGGGCAGACATTGGGGTGCCTTTAAATTACTCTACTACCATGGAAATACCACTAAATACAAAGGGTGGGGCAACGGAGTACGGCCTGTATTGCCGAGGAATGCCGAGTAGGGCCGAGTAGGGCCGAGTGGTGCCGGGAAGGGGTCGGGCAGACATTGGGGTGCCTTTAAATTACTCTACTACCACTGAAATACCACCAGGCAACGCAGCCTGTGGTGCCCACTAAAAAACAAAGCGTGATGCAACCGAGGACGGCCTGTGGTGCGGAGGAGTGCCGAGTAGGGCCGAGTAGGGCCGAGTAGTGACGGCCTGTGGTGCCGAGGAGTGCCGAGTAGGGCCGAGTAGGGCCGCGTGGTGCCGGGAAGGGGTCGGGCAGACATTGGGGTGCCTTTAAATTACTCTACTACCACGGAAGTACCACCAGGCACAACGGCCTGTGGTGCCCACTAAAAAACAAAGCGTGATGCAACCCTTTAAATTACTTTACTACCACTGAAATGCCATCAAAATACAAAGGGTGGAGCAGCCGCCGCCAGCTTGTGGTGCCGAGGAGTGCCGCGTAGGGCCGAGTAGGGCTGAGTAGTGCCGGGAAAGGGTGGGGCAGACATTGGGGTGCCTTCAAATTACTCTACTACCACTGAAATACCACTAAATACAAAGGGTGGGGCAACGGAGAAAAACGGCCTGTGGTGCCGAGCATTGCCGAGTAGGGCCGAGTAGGGCCGAGTTGTGCCGGGAAGGGGTCGGGCAGACATTGGGGTGCCTTTAAATTACTCTACTACCACTGAAATACCACCAGGCAACGCAGCCTGTGGGGCCGCGTAGGGCCGAGTAGTGCCGGGAAGGGGTCGGGCAGACATTGGGGTGCCTTTAAATTACTCTACTACCACTGAAATACCACCAAAATACAAAGGATGCGGCAAGCCTGTGGTGCCGAGAAGTGCCGCGTAGGGCCGAGTAGGGCCGAGTGGTGCCGGGAAAGGGTGGGGCAGACATTGGGGTGCCTTTAAATTACTCTACTACCACTGAAATACCACTAAATAGAAAGGGTGGGGCAACGGAGAAGGCCTGTGGTGCCGAGGAGTGCCGAGTAGGGCCGAGTGGTGCCGGGAAGGGGTCGGGCAGACATTGGGGTGCCTTTAAATTTCTCTACTACCACTGAAATACCACCAAGCAACGACGGCCTGTGGTGCCCACTAAAAAACAAAGCGTGATGCAACCGAGGAAGCCTGTGGTGCCGAGGAGTGCCGAGTAGGGCCGAGTAGGGCCGAGAAGTGACGGCGTGTGGTGCCGAGGAGTGCCGCGTAGGGCCGAGTAGGGCCGGGAAGGGGTCGGGCAGACATTGGGGTGTTACTCTACTACCACTGAAATACCGAGGACGGCCTGTGGTGCCGAGGAGTGCCGAGTAGGGCCGTGTAGGGCCGAGTGGTGCCGGGAAGGGGTCGGGCAGACATTGAGGTGCCTTTAAATTACTTTATTACCACTGAAATACCACCAAAATACAAACGGTGGATGATGCAACCAAGGACGGCCTGTGGTGCCGAGGAGTGCCGAGTAGGGCCGAGTAGGGCCGAGTGGTGCCGGGAAGGTCGGGCAGACATTGGGGTGCCTTTAAATTACTCTACAACCACTGAAATACCACCAAAATACAGCCTGTGGAGCCGAGTAGTGCCGAGTAGGGCCGAGTAGGGCCGAGTGGTGCCGGGAAGGGGTCGGGCAGACATTGGGGTGCCTTTAAATTACTCTACTACCACTGAAATACCACCAAAATACAGCCTGTGGAGCCGAGTAGTGCGAGTGCCGAGTAGGGCCGAGTGGTGCCGGGAGAGACATTGGGGTGCCTTTAAATTACTCTACTACCACTGAAATACCACCAAAATACAGCCTTGGAGCCGAGTAGTGCCGAGTAGGGCCGAGTAGGGCCGAGTGGTGCCGGGAAGGGGTCGGGCAGACATTGGGGTGCCTTTAAATTACTCTACTACCACTGAAATACCACCAAAATACAGCCTGTGGAGCCGAGTAGTGCCGAGTAGGGCCGAGTATAAGGCCGAGTGGTGCCGGGAAGGGGTCGGGCAGACATTGGGGTGCCTTTAAATTACTGTACACCACTGAAATACCACCAAAATACAGCCTGTGGAGTCGAGTAGTGCCGAGTAGGGCCGAGTAGGGCCGAGTGGTGCCGGGAAGGGGTCGGGCAGACATTGGGGTGCCTTTAAATTACTCTACTACCACTGAAATACCACCAAAATACAGTCTGTGGAGCCGAGTAGTGCCGAGTAGGGCCGAGTAGGGCCGAGTGGTGCCGGGAAGGGGTCGGGCAGACATTGGGGTGCCTTTAAATTACTCTACTACCACTGAAATACCACCAAAATACAGCCTGTGTGAGCCGAGTAGTGCCGAGTAGGGCCGAGTAGGGCCGAGTGGTGCCGGGAAGGGGTCGGGCAGACATTGGGGTGCCTTTAAATTACTCTACTACCACTGAAATACCACCAAAATACAGCCTGTGGAGCCGAGTAGTGCCGAGTAGGGCCGAGTAGGGCCGAGTGGTGCCGGGAAGGGGTCGGGCAGACATTGGGGTGCCTTTAAATTACTCTACTACCACTGAAATACCACCAAAATACAGCCTGTGGAGCCGAGTAGTGCCGAGTAGGGCCGAGTAGGGCCGAGTGGTGCCGGGAAGGGGTCGGCAGACATTGGGGTGCCTTTAAATTACTCTACTACCACTGAAATACCACCAAAATACAGCCTGTGGAGCCGAGTAGTGCCGAGTA